GAGCTGTCAGCACAGAGCCCAACATGGGGCTGGAGCTCATGAACCATGAGATCATGACCTGAGCTGAAGTCAGATGCTTGACCGACTGAGCCACTCAGGTGCCCCTACAACTTTTTTAAGGCAAATTTTATGTGACCATTATCTAAATTCTTTGAAAGAACTAGAATCAGAATTCTAAATGTTATGGCTGCAAGGCCTCAAAATCTCAGACCAGTGTGAATTTTGATGTATATCTATTTTTCTTTTTTGAAGTTTAATTTGCACACCATAAAATGTATCCATGTTAAATGTATAATTCAATAGTAAATTTACTGAGTTTTGAGACCCCACAACCCAGTTTTATATTTCTACCATCACAGAAGGATGCATCTATTTGGCCCCTTTACAGTATACTTCTGATGCCATCTCCTGCTCCAGGCAACTTTCTGCAAAATTTACTTTCTGCAAAAAAGAGAAAAGATTTGTCTTTTCAGCACATTCATATAAATTGATTCTTCTCTCACTTTGCATCGTTTTGAGGTTCATCCATGTTGTAACCTATGTTAGTAGTTTGTTCCTTTTTATTCCTAAGAGTATTCCAGTGTATAGTTATACCATATTTTTATCTACTCAGCACTTGATGGTATTTGTGTTGTTTCTACTTTTATGAATAATGCCACCATGAATATTTGCATGGAGTTTTTTTTAATGCATTTTTGTGCATTTTTAAAACAAATGGATAAAAGGAATTTTTTTCCTTTCGATCAGAAGTATTGTTCCATTACACAGGAATTGGGATAATGAGTCATGTAAAAATTTGTGGTAGGAAATTATTAAAGTGAAAGCTCAGCAGAAGAGATAACTTTTTTCCTTTTTAAAAGAATGTTGAAGACCACAAAATAGCCTTTTCTATTTCCACATGAGCCTTTTCTAATCTTAATTCTCCGATTTTTCTTTTAGTGTCCTTGAAGTGGAAAAGTCCTTGGTATTAGCTGAAAAAGGCAGTGTAGAAGACAAGGATAATGAGGTAGAGCTGTTGACTGCTGGGAAGAAATTCCGTATCTTAGCAACCATGAACCCTGGGGGCGACTTTGGAAAAAAAGAGGTAAAATTGTGTTCCTAAAGCATAATTTTTTTCCAGTTTTTGACCTCAGTTCACTGGTAGCTGTAAATATAACATGTAAAAATGCATTTGGAATTTTATATTGGGTAATAATTTAAAACCTAGAAAGATAGTTTAGAATTATTACAAAAATGAAGTCTGACAAAAACATTTCCTTATTTTTACATCTCATGGTGTGTATGTGTCTGAAATTTCATTGTGTCAGTCGCTTTGCCCAACTCAACTCTTTACATATGTTACCATAACAAATTCTCACAAGAACTTTGACTGAAAGTTATTTTCCTACTTTCATGGATGAGAAAAGATGAAACTGAAATTTAATCTATTTTTTTAAAGTTTATTTTGAGAGAGAGAGCTCACACATGCACAAGAGAGGGTACCAGCAGGAGAGAGGCAGAGAGAGAGAATCCCAAGAAGGCTCCACTCAACACAGAGCCCAACACGGGGCTTAATCTCATGACAGTGAGATCCCGACTTACCTGATATCTAGAGTCAGACGCTCAACTGACTGAGCCGCCCACTGCTCTGAAACTGAAATTTAATCTTTTTAATTTAATCTTAAACTCTGCTTCTGGAGTCTCCTTTCTTAAACAGGAGTATGGCTTTGAGTGATTTTAGAGTGACAAAAATGTTGCAGCCAGGAACCTCTTCTGGTTTTGCAAGTGGAGCCTATCTGTTCTCTCTAAGGATTTGTGGGTTATGCTTAGACTATTGGTAAAGGAAAGGGTGGAAAGCAGTTCCTTCTGTTCATGGGGGGTAGTGTTAGGATTCAGCCAGGATCCAATACCCTGAACACCATAGCTTTCAGGTTCATGAAGCCTCTCAGTAGAGAAGTCTTCCTCTGTGTCGATCCTGGTCTGTTAGAGTTAGGAAAATGGTAATGTGGTGATAGGTCAGGGATGATGAGAACGGAGGTTGATTGTGAATGAAAGTAATTAAAAATCTTGGTAATTTGGTGGATACCCCTGAAATGTGAACATGATGTTTTGGGCTTGATTTTCCTCTGTAGTGTAACAAGAAAGATTATTGCTGTGCCTCTTGAAATGTTCTTAAGAGACGTAATAAAGTATATCACAGCTTCAAACATAATGTGAAAACTGGTTCCTGGGTTGGCTGGGTGGCTCAGTCGGCTAAGCGTCTGTCTGTCTTTGGCTCAGGTCATGATCTCACAGTTCGTGAGTTCGAGCTCTTTGTTGGGCTCTGTGCTGACAGCTCAGAGCCTGGAACCCGCTTTGGATTCTGTCTCCCTCCCCCTGCCAATTGCACTCTGTCTCTTTCTCAAAATTAAATAAACATTAAAAAAAAACAAAACAAAATGGTTCCTTGGCAAATGGAAATCCCGTAGAAAGATCTGATTTTGACATTGTGTGTGTTAGCTTAGGTTAAGATAGTTTAAGTTTTTCTTAGAAAAAGATTGCCAACTTTTACCTAAGGGAAAGCTCTTTATTGTTTTGGCACACCTAGCAAGCAGAGTGAGGTAGAATGCTGAAGACCAGAAGCACTGCTTGTTTAGGATGGCAACAGGGAACACTCACACATTCACTGGGTCTTGGTTGAGCTGCTCCTGGGTATAGGCATTGCTCCTGGTCCTGTTGCAGTAGGCCAGATAGATGGATGGAGCTTATCAAGTTATAGGCAAGCAATGATAAACTAATAGTTATGTGCATATGTGGCATTGTAAATGCTTATTAATAGGGGAAGGGTAAGAGGAATCCATAAGACTGGAAGACTGGAAGAACTAACAATTCTTTGTTATGCAAGAGGTAAAATATGTACCTCCTTACTAATTTGGCTGTTCCTCTTTGAGCCACTTAGAAGATGTTTTCTCTGACTTCAGACAGCTCTCCCCTTATCGCACAATAGCATTTGTTTTCTCTAAAACATTGGTTTTGTAACTGAAGGTAAAGGAATGGCCTTTGCTTAGGGGAAAGTATTCAGGTTTGGGAATCACCCACTGGGGCTAGGATTCAACTTACACCATTTACTCTATAAAACCTTGAAGTTCTGTATGTCTATAAAGAAAGTGATGGGAATATGGTGTTGGGGGGTGTGGTGGAGATTAATGAGATGACATATGGAAGGAGCCAGGACAAAGTAGACCTTTAATAAATTGTACCTACTAGTAGAGATAATAAGAGGAGCATTTGGTATTTGTTAGACTCACAGCTAACATTTCTTCAAAGGATTTGTTCTCTAACTTTCCTCATAAGTATCCATTCATATTGAAATTTTTGTTTCTTGTAGTTGTCTCCTGCCTTAAGAAACAGGTTTACAGAAATATGGTGCCCACAAAGCACAGGTCGTGAAGATTTAATTCAGATTATCAGCCATAACCTTCGTCCAGGATTGTCTCTGGGAAAAATAGATCATAAAGGTGAGTTTTTTCAGTTGGTACAGGTTGTAATGGTGGTTATGAGGTGGAGGGGATTGTATGTTGGGAATGAGAGGTGTTGTATAGGACATTAGCAGTGTATATATGTTGGCATGTTAAAAGGAGAAGAGGAGATAGAGAAATGGGAACAAATAGATGTAAGAAAATAGGCTATTTGGGGGCACCTG